GAGGGCGACTCAAATTAGTCTCTCCCTCTTTTTTTCTTTATAGAAAGATCACTGTCTGCTCAGACTGCTCCCACAAATTTCAAAGGAGACTTTAGAAAGGTTTTGGATGTCAACAACAACCTTTTATCTCTAATGTTATATGCATTTGCTTTGAGGGGCATTTCTTTCTTGACAAAGCCATAGGGCTTAAGAGGGAAAGAAAAGGGTAAGGAGTGCTTATGGAAAAGATTACCCCTGGGAGGGCTCAAAAAATAAATATTGGTCAATGATGATAATTCTAGTAGATGGTTATTTTAAACACTTGAGCACTGAAGAAAAACAGCTTCTTAAGAAACTAGCAATGAATGACTGTTCAGAGAGCTGTGGGGTGATAGAAATAAGGTACAACCACATGTCTGCAGAGAGGACTCTGCAGCTCTGGAGAGTCTGGAGCTCTCCGTATCTGGCTGGGGACTACAGGCAACTCAATTCACCTTTCTAGATAGATCTCGGTGTTCCTGTTTGCTTAATTGGGGTTGTGTTATGGACTGAATGGTTCTATCCACTCCCAGATTTATATGTTGAAGCTCTAAGCCCCAATGTGACTATATTTAAGAGAGTGTTTAAAGGAGGTGACAAAGGTTAGATGAGGCCATAAGGGTGGGGTCCTAATAAGAGGAAGAGAAAACAGAGCTCTCTCTCTCAATGTGTCATGTGAGGACAGAGAGAAGCTGTTAGGAAGAGAGCTTTCACCAGAAACCGACCAAGCCAGCATCTTGATCTTGAATGTCACAATTTCCTGATTGTGATAAATAAGTCTATGTTTAAACCACCCCGTCTATAGCATTCTGTTATGTTAGGACAAGTAATCTAACTTGAAGGGAGAGGGTGTGATGACTAGCTAATTAAGATGACATAATGATTTACAGTTTATAAAGCACTTTTACAAATGTTATCTTGGAGAAACTCTAGAAGGTGAGAAGAACAGAGTATTATTCTACAAATAAGGGAGTACCTCAGACAAGTTCACAACTATGAGGCTACCAAATAGAATTCAACCAGACTGTAAATCTGGATAGTTTAAACAGTTTGTAACTGGTTGTGATATTGTTTCCAGCTCCACATTTATGAATTCTAGTTCTAGATTTCTAGGTAATTCCCAACTGAACAATGTTAAATATGTCAAAATTTGAATATATGTGAATATATATGTTCCCTTTGATCACCTTCCTATGTATTATATACATATGCAATGACTATTTCCTTTGATCCAGTTCTTAAAATGTGATCGAGACCAGCAATAGGAGTTGAAAACTTAGAAAAGCAAAATCTTGCGTCCCACCCCAGACCTACAGAATCAGAAACTGTGGAGGTGAGGTCCATCAATCTGTATTCTGAAAATCCCTCCAGGGAATTCTGAGGACAATAAAGTTTGAGAACCACTGCCCTGATCACTACATACGTTTCCTTTGTAGCTGGCTCATGTTTCTTCCCCTACTGCACTGAAGGATTTGCAGTTACAACTGTAAGTCCCATGACCTACTAGATTCATGACCTACTGATAAACCCATTCGGGGATCCTTGAATCTGTAAAGATATCCTTCATATAATTACAATATTCTACAATTTGGTGTTAGATTTGTTACCTCTGTTAAGTCTACTTAGAATTTGAAAACAGTTTAGAAAAAAAAGCTATTTCAATCCAGCATATCATAAACCTTTAATTAAATACTCTAATTAAAAAGTTTTAAAAATAGAACAAATTTATTATTTATTCAAAAGGTTTTTAATTCCCTTTCTCCTGGTACTTGATCCTCTATTCCCCATTCCCATCTCTGAAATGTCAGTAACTTCAAAAGGAAATTCTCATGTACATGAAATATTTTCCTAAACAAGATCAACCCCTTCCAAGCAGGAGAGACTAAACATAACTAAAACAATCTAAAATATATATAATTACTATTTAATATTCATTCCTAGAAAACCAAATGTAGATTTAATTAATTATATATGATTACATAGCACATATAATTAAAAATATGTTTATGTCATATATTTATCTGCATTTAGAGACATTATGATTGAAATCCAATATGTCCCCTTTGATTATGTTCCTATGCTTGAAATTTAAAACTGTAGGGATTGCTCATAGAAACAGACTCCAATGCCAATGTGATATATTTGTATTTAAATAGCTGTGTGTGTGTGTGTGTGTGTGTGTGTGTGTTGTGTGATTACATAATACATGAACCTGTTACCTTAGGACATCAACACTATTCTAAGAATTCCCTGGAATGCCTTTATTTTGCACCTCACATAAATTTTGCCAATAAAATTTCACAGAGTACAGAACAACATTGCCTTTTAAGAATAAAATCTTACACATTTCCAAAATTACTCCTTCTCATTTAAAAAGAACATAAATGACCTTTACTCTCTTGCATGTGAGTAGTCAGGGAGAACAAAATCCACATACTCTGTGCTGCTTCTGTTATTAATTTGGTTATATCAGCAAATTGTGAACTTTCTGTGAAAATACAAGGCTTACAAATCACATGACTGATAAAATGGCATATAGCTTGCACAGCATTTGTAGAGGGACAGCTCCTGAATGGTAGATTTAATGAGATTAGTAGACTTTTGCCCATCACAGCACTGCAACTATTCTATTTCTTTAGATTTTTCTTTTGGTACCATTTACTGATTTAAAATTATATGAATATTGAATAACACATTTATACCATGTTTCTGAAATGATATAAGAAAAATAAATTGAACACAAAGATCTCTCCCCTAATAGCATATACATTTATATATACATATATAATATATATATATCTAGCTTGTATATATAGCATAGAATGTATATATAATATCTATGAAGAAAAGCAATGTTAAGCAAATATCTTTTATATACAAACACACACATACACCTTTCATACTGATCTCTTAAAATCAGGTTGAATATTTTGCAGTATCGTCAAGACTAGTTGGCGTGTTTTCCCAAATATTTTATTTTGATATATCAACATTGTCATTGTTTTAACCTAGGATTTACTCAAAACATTAACACCAAATAAATCTCCGCAAAAGGAAAGAGTGCTCTTACTGCCAACAGCAAACACCAAAGCCAACTAATATTCATAATTACTCATGTTTTGAAACATGTTTTGACACGAATGACTCAGCAAAGCTGGGTCACTGCCAGTTGGTGCCACCTGGTGCAATGGCACCAGTGGAAATGTGATAACTACAGAGATAAACAATGACTGAGCAAGTCAAATCCACTCTCATTTGGTACAGATAAGGAAAGTGTTATTTTCTGAAGGAGCAAGCAAGTTGGTTCTCTTTTAAAAAAAAAAAAGAAGATTCCTTCCAATTAATAAAAATGTTTGGGCATAACAACATAAATTTTATGAAAGACACCATGAGAAAATAAATGGACAATGACTCCTTTGGGTTTTCCGCTCCGAAGATCTCAATATATAATTTCATAGTTTTTCAAATCTCCAAATTTAGCAACAACAAAAAGAGGCTTCAGGAAAACAAAAAAAAAAAAAAAAAGAGAAAGAAAGAAAAGACAGGTAGTTTGGGGATGATGCTAAAGAAGTACAAAATAGAGCAAGAATTTAGCTTTTGCATGACAAGAGAAGATATCATCAAATAGCTAACTTTTGTTTTAGTAGAGACATGCTTAGATATGTGTGTTCTCATAATATACTCAAGTTGCATTTTGCTAGTTTGTTCATCAGGTACATCCAGTCTTTTACCCAGAATGCCAGTGGGATGATGGCCAAGATCACATGCTCCAAGGAATTAATCAGGCACAGTTAAATGGTAGCTGATAGCTCAGCAGAGCCCTTGGGCTCTAGTTCCACTTACCTTAGAACTAAACTGACAATTTGGTACGAGGAGGTAGTTTGAGTGACCCTGTAAGAATATGTTTATGTGCTACCTTGAATGGAGGTGCTTTTGTTTGTCAGTGCTTCCAAAAGGCTACTTCAATTACCTCAGTTTTTCAGGCCAAACAAACAAGTCTCTAAGTGAATTGTTTTTCATTGCTATCTCCTGAGGGTCATTCTCCCTTCTTTTCAGAAATACACACAATGGCTCCTTTAATGCAATCACCATGATGCAAAACAAACTGCACGGTGAAGATATGGTCCAAGTTCAACTTGGCTTTCTGTCGCTTGTTGACTCTTTAACCTGAGCAGCTGAAGAACTGCTCAGATCCCTTTGAATCTATCTCCACCTGAGCTCACATCACATTCAGAATCAGTGCCACTTACACAATTAAATAGTTGTGCAGTGATCTTGGCTACCCGATAATTAACAAAGACATAAAGAGCTAATGCCAGTTGAGTGACATGACTTGGCTTCCTTTCACCGCCTGCTATGTCATTGTTTATGACCTATTAAACAGTTTTCATTTTACCTTATGGGTCCATATAAAATCCAAGTTAGATATTTCTAAAATCACAGGCTGTATTAAGGAATGTTAAATGGCTTCCTCTTTGTTTTTTTTTTCCCCAAATAATCTCTAAATTTATTGCAAACTAACAGAGAAACTAAATTAAGTAATATAATTATTTTTTGAACCTCTCAGTTTTTTATTATCATTTATTCTTCTCCTCCTATCTGTATTCATTGTTTTATACTAATGGTATTGGTTATCATTTTCAAAGTAATATGCTTTTTGTTTCTTGCTTAAATCACTTTTTAGCCAAATTATCATTATTGCTTTGGTTCATTTTGCAAATGGGGCTTCTAATTTTTCAAAAGTTCCCTTCACTTGTTCTGCTTTTTCATCATTCTTATACACAGAATATATATGTCAATGTCATGTATATCATGATTAGAGGTATCCTATGGGGAAGCTTAGCTGCTTTCAAAATTGACTTTGTTATTCAAACTTCAGACAGGTTAATACAGTCACCAGGCAGGACTGAAAGCTGAAAGGGCTTCAGTTTTCAAAAATCTACAGTTGGACAATAAAAAAATGTATGTAAGTGTTCACTTACCTGCTTTTGATCAACAATTATTTCGAGGTCTTCATCACTGCTTAGTTTTCCATATCCTTTTTCTTTACTTTTCTTGTGAAAGAATAATTTAAATGATCATTTAGTTTCTTTCCATTAATAATGTTAATTCCCACTTAATACTTTTTAAAGATAAAAATATTTACTTAGCCTTGTTTACTGGTCTTAATACATCACTCTTTATGTCAATGTCTCATGGACAAGGCAAATGCTTTTATCATTGAACTGCAGCCTTATAATTATTCATTAATATTTCCACTTTGCTGCTCCCATACAAATTACACCTTTAATTCTTTTCTAAATATTATGACACTTCTGTTTTTCAATTCTGCAGTTTCAGAAAAGATTATTTAATACTTTTAAATAAATAAACAAATGCTCCAAGAGTCCCAGTGTATTTTTCTTATAGATTGAATATTTAGTAATTATACTACAATTAAGACTTGCACTGGTAATTGTTTTATTTTAATCTTTTCTATATTTTTAAGACTAAGACAACTTTAATCAAACTTAGATCATTAATCTTCAGATTTTCTACATTTGCTTATAAATTAGATAAAAACTAAAATTGGAAAAATCAACTCAAATAATTTTAAAAAGATCAAATAATTTTCCAGATTAGGTAGTTTGGGAGACTACCTAAAACTGGGACACTACAGATCATCTTTGAAAATGCACTTCATTGCATATTGTCATTTTTTTTCCCCCCGACACCGTAAGGGCTATTCCCCATTTAGCCCGCCTGTTGCAGAAGTAATAAAGTTAGATATTAATCAGGATAACCATTTAACTGCTGTGCTACAAGAGAAAGATAATAATATGATAATACGAGCCTTTAAAAAAAATTTCTCCCAATGCAAGAGCTGATCAGAATATCGAAAATAACATGTTACTTCTTTGTAATTTCAGAAAACTAGGTACCTGTGTAGAAGACTGGTAACAAAAGTAAAAGAGAAAAAAATCACTACATATGTGTAGTGCAAGATCATTATATCTTAAAAACAGTCCTGGCTTTAGGAATTAACTACATTAACTAGGATTAAGGGAATTAAATATCTTTCTTATTTTTGCACCTACTATATCATCTTAGTGTCCCCACTACATTGGGGAAAGAAATGCGTACTTTAGCAAACATGACATAAATCTTCTTTACACTGTGCACATTTTTCTCCCAATAAACGTATCTCCCATTTGTGTGTTTTTTCCTTGTAATAAAGATATTTATGAATCTTCAAGTAGTATGATGCATAAAGTCTGAATTCTCATTCATATATTAATGATTTTAGCCTTTTAGAACAGAACAGATGGCCACAGTATTTCTTTCTATTATTACTCTTGTCCTTATTTGAGGTTCCATTTCAGGATTGATGGAAAACAAAAAGAACAAGGTTGGTTTTAATCAAGCTGACTTCCTTTCTGTCATTTTGCTTTTGTATCCTTTTAGTTCACTGGTTGCCGGTTGCCATAAGATATTGTCCAGAGACCCTTTAATGCAAAACATTTAGAAATGCTTTTCTGAATATTGATCTGTATACGTACCAAGTAGCTCACTTGCATGACCCGATTTCTGGACAAAAGGACATTAAGTAGAGATGGAATGTGGGTCCTTCCATCCATTTCACTGTCAGACATCCCAGAATTCTTTGCACCAGAGGCAGTGGCTTCATTGCCAGAACTTGCTGACCAAAGAACCACAGATCCAGTCCAGCAACAGTACTTCTAATGTATGACAGAAATTGAAGTATCCCTGCCTCATTATCTTGACTTTGTTAACATTGTGAATTTTTTGGCTAGCACACAAAGTCATTGACACTTATCGTTTTTTTCTTTTTAAGCAAATTTTTATGTAAGCACTTCTATGTTCCTTGACTACTGTTCCAGTTTAATGTATTCTTTTAACCCATATATTATTAATTATATACATTTTTATATTTCATCCTACGCATATGGACCACTTAGCCTCTTTGTCATAAAAGCTGTCAATTTTCCCTTTTTAATGCCCTGCCCCAAATGTTCTTATGATTGGCAAATCACTGCTAAATGATATAATAATGTCAGTACTCACAGAACATAATTCAAGATTGCAATTTCTGCCAATACCAAATTTCATCTTTCCAATTTAATCCTGAACCTTTATTTGATTTAGTAGTAAATTTTCTTGAGATGAGGCTACTTCAGAGAAGGAGAATATAATCTCCAACTACTGAAAGTAGAAATCCTTGGCATTTTCCAAAAGTGGGAAGAGATATTTTAGAGCTGATTTTGTACTTAAGCCCCTAGTCTCTAAACAGCAAACAACTGTACACAGTCAGAAGCCTTACAGTTTTAGTCCAGAGTCAAGCAATATTTTCTAGTTCACCCCATAACCCCAAAGGGATTAATCCTGCTCGAAGTCATAATGGTTATTGGCTCACTTACTGCTTATTTCTAGTGCGAGCACAATCCTCTTTCAAGCACTCAGCTTCCCACTTTGACTGCTTAGATCAGCCAGCCCAGGCAGGGATCTTCAGCTCTCCTCCCTCCTCCCAGCCAGAAATCCCTGTCTTCTATCTATGCACTTTTGTCAAGCACAAAAAGCTACTCCATAGCTTCTGCATGGTCTTTCATATCAACTGAATTAGAAGCAGAAAGAAAGCTAACCTCTCCACTGTCCAGGACAGCATGAGAAGGCAGGGCTTTTGTGGGAGGAGAAGCCAGACTGTAATCACTTCCTGTGCTCCTCCCATCTCCCTGTGGCAGACTCAGAAGCCGAGGATTTCCACCCAGGCAGTGAGAAGGGTAGGTCACAGTCCCCACTCCCGCCTTAGAATGCTGCCTGCTTAGGGATGATTTTGCGCTCACTCAAGTGCTCCTGACTAGGGAACATCTGTGCAGTGGAGCGAAAATCTTAAGAACTTTGAGGTGGGAGAAGTGAGGAAAGAGAAAGGAAGTAGTCACCATCTGTCCAAAATGTCACTCCCTGCGAGAAGCTTCCAGCTCTGGTTGTGTCCAATCTCTGAAACCCTAGTCTGCATCTCCCACCTTCCCCACAACACTTTAAATCCTTTCTGAGTAAACAAAAGGAGAACCGCCTTTGTTCTTGCTGAAAACTTTTTAAATACCACTGAATGAGATCTGTGGTTTTTTTAAGATCATTGAGCCTAACTGGTAACCTCTCCTCCCTGGAGACACTCTACCACCTCTCCTTAACCCTATCTACCTCCTGCTTCCCAGCTTTACCTCTGTCTTCCACAAAAATAGAGCAGAAAGGTGGGCTTATTCATTTGAATTAAATAAATGATTAAGCTGAGAAACCACACAGGAGATATATCTATATCTATACCTATATCTGCAATATAGAATCCATTATATAAGAAAAATTTGCAAGTAAGTAATGAGAAAAATAGCAAAATCTGATGAGACTGAGATGTGAAAAATGAAGAACCCTATGTTCATTTTGGAGTGAGAATATATTGATAAATAAGTTTTACTTGAAAGATACTAGCAGTGTATGGGCTTAATTAAAAGGATTCTTCATACTCATTAGGAATGGGATACATAAAGGAAATATTAAAAGGGAGAAGGAACACATGATTTAGTTAATTGTACAAATTAGCTTCAACTGCAATTTTTGCTTAACTACAAAATAGTCAAAATAAACATAAAAGTTAAAGATTGCATATAAATAGTTCAAAAAACATTTACCATTATTTATTCAATGCTGTAATGAATGATAAATAGTAGACACGAATTTATTAAAGCCAATGTCACATGAAGACTATGTAGTATAACCACAAGAAACAAAGGTCTTCTGCCATCTTCCATATGATTGTCAGTATTCAATTCTTCTTATTTTCAAAATTTTCAGTATCTTCTTATTTTTCTTATCTCCAGTCTGTTTTCCCACCTGCAACATTGCTACATTTTCCCTGTCCTAAGATGACTTTGTTTTATCTGCTTTCCCCTACAGGCATTCTTTTTTTTTTTTTTTTTTTTTTTTTCATATCTCATGCCTTTAGTGTCAAACTTCAGAGACGGGTCCAAATTCATTAGCAATAGTTTCTTTCTTTCTCTTTACTTCTAACCCGAGCAAGACAGGTTGCAACTTACTATAATTGTTTTCTAGACAGTCACCAATGGACTCCTGATTATTGAATTCTCTAGCAGTCATTTTTAGAGCTAATTGTATGAATTAGCTACAAGAGCAATTTTTGATTGACTACAGATGTCAAAATAAATGCAAATATTTTATCTTTCAGTGGTCAATTTTGTATCAGATATTTTCAAAAATGTCCTTACAATTATTTACGCTATTACAACTACTAAATTCTGTTGCTACCAATTTTATACAGTAACAAGGAGGAAGAGGATTGAGGAAAAATGATAATGTACTGAGAAGATACTTGCTGAATTTGTAGCACCTTTGGGAAGTTCATCCAAGTGGAGAGATCCAGTTGACCTTTTGGATTTGTGGGTCCGTACTTAGAAGACAGATATGGGCAAGGAGTATGGATTGCTGGGACAATTAAAATTGCCCTCATAGATAAGTTCATCAAACAAGAAAATGTAGAGACAAAAGAGATGAACATTAAGGCTAGAGCCCTGGAGAATCACATTTTTAAAAATGGGGCAAAGAAATCCCAATAAAGGGAGCTGAGTAGGAATGTTTATAGGTACATAAGAAGAACTAGAAAACAGTCAAAGGATAAAGAGTTCTAGACAGTGTCAAATGCCAATGAGAAGTTAAGTGAGGATGTGAATTGCCAAGTTTCATTGTACTTGGTATTTTGGATGTCATCAAGCACTTTAGGAAAAGATGTCGTAAAGATGAAAGTGAGCAGAGAAAATTAAAGAATGCTTTGGCAAAGCAGTGAAAATAGTGAGAGAGATCTTATTTTTCCTAAAGAAAGCTTGAATGAAAATGGAAAAAGGGACATTTTTAAGATGGCTGATTTCATGTTGTGTTTTTACTACAGTTTAAAAAAAAGGGGAACGAAGGGACAAGAACAGCAGTGGTGTTAGGGGGAAAAGGATGTCCTAAAGCTAATTCCATACAGGCTTTGTGGACTCCACCC